TCTGGGGGTTTGAAGGGCCCTTTGTGAGGGCGGTTGCAAGGAGAGCAGGAGCTCCCTGACTTCGCTGGCTCCAAGAGCCCGTCTGGGGCTGCGGGGGGGGGGGCTCCCTTGCCGGGGGGACGAGGCACGGGGCGAGGGCGGTGGTGGGGCGCAGAGCGTGGGGCAGGCTGAGCGGCAGGGTTATTAATCCCCATTTTCCCGTGATGCTCTAGCACAATTTTCAGAGCCAAAGCCGGAGGGAGCTCCTGGCTGACGCAGCCTGGGTTTGGCCCTTCCCTGCTCCGCTGTCCCCTCGTCCCCGGCACCTCTGGGGTCACCCACGGCTGTCCCACAGCACCGAGCCCTGCTGCCGGGGCATCGGCTGCCCCCATCTCTGCCGGCTGCCTCGGCCCCCTCCGCAGCCCCCCTCCGCCTGGGTTATCGAGTGACGGTGGCAGAGCATTTAAATGTCACTCCACTAAAAAGAGCAAGGCGTACGGGGAGGGGAGGGCTGGGGGGAGCCGGGATGGGAGAAACAGGAGCAAACCAGTATCGATTTCTAGCCAATTAGCACTGTTATCAAAGCAGCGCAATTAAAGGATGAGGACACATTTCCAATACCCTGCCTGCCCCTCCGAGGCCAGACACTGGTTCATCAGCTCGGCCGCACACACACATCTACGTGCACGCAAGCACTTCACGTCTGCACATGCGTGCCCGGGGTGTGCTCGTCGCACATGCGTGTGCACGCAGCCGCAGCCGCGCGGGCATCCTCGGCTCGGCAGCGACTGCTGAGCTTGTTTTCCCCGCGGAGTTAATCTCCCCAGCCCGATTCGCTGCCTCGTTTTTCGGTGCGGCCAAGATGTGCTTCCATCTGGCTCTCGCTGAGCCCAGGGAGGGTGGAGAGGGCTCTGGGGACGGCTGGCAAAGCACTGCCCGGGCTTCTCGCCCAGAGAGGAGCCGGACCCACAGGAACTTGGCCCGGTTCTCATCCTCAGGGTCTTCTGTAAAATGTTTTCTCTCCACTCGCCCATCTCTCCTTCTCCCTCCTCCTCCCCACTGCTCCAGCACGCAGCGGCTGGGTCCAATCCTGCTGCCCCCCAGGGCTCTCCCAGGCTGCCAGCTGGATGCTCGTCCTACAGATATTTGGGTTCTTATGCTCTTGCAGGATGAGCATCGGGGTCGCACAGCTCTGGATCACACTATTTACATCCCACTGCTGGTGGGAGGCATTTGGGAGCACCAAAGATGCCAGCAGGGACCAGACCCCCACCTCAAAACGCGTGCCGGGGCCCGGTGCGGTAATGTGGATTGCGCACGGAGAATCCCCGCAGCGCGTGCCTGGAGACACAGCCAGGGCTTGGCCTGGGGTTTCCAGCATCGGGAGGGTCAGACGCCTCCACCCCCAGTGGCAAACCCAAAGCCAGGGTCGATCCCTGGTTGAGCAGACCCCAAATCACCCCCACCCCAGCCTTGTCCCCCGGGCTGTGCTACCCGGCGGCGCAGCTTGAAAGCGGCATCTCCACCCTGGAGATGCTCCCAGAGTGGTGGGGAAGGACGGAGAGCGTCTGGGCTC